AGAGAGAGAGAGAGAGAGAGAGAGAGAGAGAGAGAGAGAGAGAGAGATTTATTCAATATAGGTGTGAAGTATCAACAATCAAAAGAGCAGATTTTCAACATCTTTAATAAAACCTTCTTTCTTGCTATGACTTGAAATTCCTCAAAGCATTGGTAAAATAACTTAAAGTTGCTGCTTCCTTAGGGAACTGAGAAAAGCAGGCTTGAAGTGACCTGAGATGTTGACAACCATGGTGAACATGATGGTTTTATTCTGGTTCCTAATACAATATAATTAAAATGTAAAGATAGCAGGAGCAGGTGATGGGGTTTTCTCTTCTTGTGAATAATGCTTTGGAGTTGTAATTTTTCTTAATCAAATGATCATTCTAGCTACTTTATACATTCCACATACCTCCCCTTGAAATCTAACCTCTTAAACTTTCCTTAAAGCCAGTTCTGTGCAAAAACTAGTTTCACAACAACTGGTAAATAAGCTGCATGTTGTGATACACAATTCTGATCTCCAAACTTAGACACAGGAGATCACAGAGTTTGAGTCTAGCCTGGACTATATAATGAAATACTATTACAAGGAAGGGAAGAGAGAAAGAACTTAAAAAAGAATTTCTAAATACTATCATTTAATTAGCCATGCAATTCATTCACAGCAGTTTTTAACTTTTTACTTGACATAAGCTAGGTCACATGGGAAGAAGGAGCCTCACTTGAAGACTTGCTTCCATCAGATTAGCCTGTAGGTGTGTCTATGAGGCATTGTTTTTTATTAATGATTGACATGAGAGAGCCCAGATCATTGTTGACTCCAGCTCAAGGCAGGTGGTCCTGGGGTGCGTCAGAATGCAAGACATTGATGATGAAGAGAAACCATTGCAGCATAAATAAGATAAAATGGGCAAAATATTAATAGACATTTCTTCATACAAACGTTCAAGAAGCACATTAAAATGCTCAAAATCACTACTCATTGAGAAATGAAAATTAAATGCATACTACCTTACATTCATTAGGTTGACAATTACTAAAAATGAGTAAAAACTAAAGACTAACTAACAAGAGTATGGCTGCACATGAGCAGGGGTCATGGATTTAAAGCCAGCCTGGCTTACATGGTGAGATACTAATTGAAACTAAACCAAACCAAAACAACCAAAACAAATAATAATAATAATAATAATAATAATAATAATAATAATAAAAGGCCAAACCAAAGTGAAAACATAAAGAAGCTAGTCTTGGCACACTGCTAGTAGAAATAGAATGTGGAACAACCATTGTGGCTTCCTCAAAAACTTGAAAGCAGAAATACCACATGACCCGTTGTGGAATATTTGGAGTTTATCCAAGAAGTAGTGCCGGAAAAAGCTCTTTATAGGATACACGGACACCATCTGCACAGCACTGTTAGTCACAATAGCCATACAGTGGACACCACCCAAGTGTTCACTGACAGACAATGGGTGAACAAGTTGTGATAACACAAATTATAGAATGCTATTTTCCTTTAAACTAAAAGGAAACTTCGGCATAAGCTACTTACAATCTGAACAAATCATATGTTGTATGACACAAGAAATTCACAAAAGAGTCAATACTGAACCTGCTGAAATGTTCAGTAGTTAATAGCGTTTGCTGTTCTTGGGGAGGACCTGGGTTTGGGTCTCAGTACCTATGTGGAGGCTAATTGTCTTTAATGCCAATTCCAGATGACCTAAGGCCCTTAGTGTGCATCAGACATGCACAGGATGCAGTATTAAACATGCAGACAAACACACAAAATAAAAATAAATACATCTTCAACTACAACAAAATACTGTTGATTCCATTTAGCTGAAGTACCAGAAAATAGAAAGTAGAAACTTTCAGAGGCTGGTAACAGGTACTGGGAGGGTGCCAGTCAGTGAGAAGTGTTTCAGCGTTGCCAGAGAATGTGACTGTAGCAAGATTAAAAGGCACACTTCCAAATGATTCAAAGAGTAAATGGCCTCAGCAGGCTATGTTTACATATTTATGCATATAAATATACAATAATAACCAAAAGAAGAAGCTAGGAATTTGGGAGGGAACTGAGATGGGGCATGCAAGGAAGAAGAATGGAGAAATAATGGGATGATACTTTTTCTTCAAAATGAAAAAGGGTGGAAATAAAAATAAAAGGTGACTGAGCCACCAAGGAGAACAAGGCAGTACACAGTACTCTGCAGTAGTCTCTCTTTCAGCCCATGCCTCCAGACTCCTGCCCAAGCTTCTACCCTGGATTTAAATAAAACCTAATATAGCCTTTAACTAAGGTACACAGTATTCTCCCTCAAAGACTTCTCTCAAAGATTTTGATATTTGAGATAAAAGTTCAGTATTAGACACAGCAGTGTGTAATGTCTTCATACTGAAGAAACGTTTAAGCAACTCTTTCAGAGAGGAAATGTGTGTGGCCAAGGCTGACTGATGTCTTAGATACAGTAACCCCACTGGCCAGGCTGTTAACCAAGTAAAGCCCTAGTTGCTTACTACGGTTTAGTGTACACCACTATCCTCTCTTGAGTTTCAAGGAAGAGTCACACAAATACCAGCATCTGATGCTATTGGTTTTATATTTTTTAAGGAGAATGTTCACATTTCCACTGCATTCTGAGAAGTGAGTACTACATAAAATAAAATTAAGGTATTAAATAAGTTCGTTCAAAGAAAAAGCTGATTTCAATAGGTTTTTCTTTTGGTTTATAATTTAAGTAATCTTTCATTGCCGAGGTGAATTTTTATGAGCTCTTATAGATTTCATTAATTATGTTCTTGTGGAAGGGAATTTTAGACCCAGGCCCTTTGCTATTTATTCCTATGCCTACAGCTACTGTAAACCCACCATTTAAATCAAATAAATCTGTTATTTTACCTAAATAAGAAATACTAGCTTAAGCTTTCCAGGTTTGAATTTTATATACAATCAGTCCTCGTTATCTTCGGATTCATCAAATATGGGATTGAAACTATTTGGCAAAAATATTTTGAAAGTTTACAGACTTCATTCACAGAGCCACTCAGCCACATGTCAAAATATTCAAAAACAAAGGATTGCATCAGAACTGAACCCAAGGCCATTTCCTGTACACAAATAATTCCCTGGAAAGCAGAATGCCATGGCCATTAGTAAAAACATTTACACACACACACACTCACACACTCACACACACAGACACACACACAGAGACACACACACAGACACAAACACACACACAGACACACACACACATTCCGTAGAGCTACTTTACCCTAGATCAGAGTTGGAATATAATTGCGTGTGCATATTGGGTCCTTTTTATCTAAGGAGTTTCCACATCCACCTGCCCTTGGATACAAAGGGCATGAAAGGTTTCCTCAGATTCTTCAAGCATGTCCTAACTCTAGTTCCTCCTTCTTTGTCAATTCATTCTATTTCTTTTCTTCTCCATCACTTGACTGTTTAAAACATGAAATAGCTTAAATCCAGCCAAACATTTCATTTGATTAACTGTTACCCTGTGCTTTATTATGGGCAGGATAAGAATGTCTAGTGATCCACGGAAAGACACCCAGTTCCTTTCTGGAAGGATTTACTATAGGTTTACTCTTTCCATACTTTACCATGTATTTGTGATTTCACTGCTCTTGATATGTATTTTTTTCATATTTGAACACAAATCCCATTAGCTGTTACAATGTGAATTGTTTTTTAATTCTAGGTTAATCTGTGGAATGAGCCCCAGGAGATCAAGAAAACATTAAAACTCCATGGTGAAATAGATCTTGCAGTTTTTGGATTCAGACATGAAGAGAAACACAGTTGTCTGAAGTGGTCATGAAAGCCAAACAAATCTTCTTCTCTGTTCTGCTGTTTGGGACAGCAGGGCTTCTGCTCTTCATGTACTTGCAAGCATGGATTGAAGGACATTATACAGGTAACATGTAGATTCTAAGTTTTCCCTGTAAATGATAACCACAATTGCCCCTCAGTATTAAATGCCTTGTGACATTGATAGGTATTTCGTAAGCCTCACAGTTTCCAACATCCATAACTCAAATACCCAGATCTTAGAAGAGTAAATATTTTGCAAACCAGTGGCCCTTTGCTCGGTGCTTACACTGCAGTTTGTGTCCTCTCAAAGGGGACCATGCTGGTACCATTAACACAACATTAATGTCTTTTTTGCAATCTGTCTATAGGACTATAGAATTTATTTTCTCTCTGATCTGCCCATCAAAGTTAACCAAGCTTAAATAGGAGCAAAATATTAGCAATCGCTTTTAATTCTAATATTTATGTTGAAACTCAACATCAACATGAAAATTCATGAAACATTTGTTGTTAAATTAAACACCTTTTTTAAATAATTTATTTTTTTCAAATCGTAATTTTTACTCATTCACACAGGGGTTATAAACACAAAAAGACAGGACATGGGGAAGGGGATGACACTGGAGTGTGGGTGTTTAGGGGGAATACAGAACAGGGTATCGGCTGGGTGAACATTCAGGGGACAGGTGGCTATGACTCTGCCTATGATTCACTTGTCCTTATCTAAATTGCTATTATCTGCCAAGGTTACCTATTTACAAGGTATATGACTACTCGAGCTGGTAAATTTCCACAAAAGCTGCCTGTTTATGATAGCTTATAGCCCTCTGTTTCAATGTTTTTCCACAGAGACCCAAGACTTGGTGTTAGTATACATGTATGACAGGCCTATTGCTGATTTTAGGCCTATGGCTGATTTTAGGCCTTCAGTGGGTAAGCAGGGCTGCCCCTGACATCTCCTCCCTTCTCTAAGTATAGAAGGGCTGTGGCAATTCTAATCTTTTGAAGGCAGAGATAGAGGCCTGACCTCCAGTAATTGAAGGGGATCTTGTAATGGCTCCAGTCCCCCTGTCGTTGTCCAGTGAGGCATGAGAGCCATACTAATCCCAATGTCTTTTTCCTAGAGAGGGGATACTTTTGACATCAACCCCTATGCAGTCAGGCTTGTCCCTCAAGGAACCCAGAGAGATATTTTGAACTTTTATTGATATTCCCTTGCAGTGCTTAGCCTCGCAGCCTAAGCAAGAATTCAGGTCACCTGTCAGAGGGCATTCTGGATGGCCCCTCTCTGCCTGTTCTACAGGCAGAAGTTCCCTCTTTTAGGTTGGGTGGAGATGGGTTTTGGAAACACCCTGTATAAAGTAACAACCTCATCTTGAGTCTCGTGGTCCTCCATAGCTAACTTATGATAATGTATCTGAATAGGTTTTGCTACCAAATTATTTATCTGTTGTTTCACAGAGTTAGTCAGCCTATTTGAGGCCCAGGGACCAGAAGAAATAAGCAAAAGAACCCAAATAATGGTCCCAAGATGAAAGGAGGTAGGGTTGACAACCCTGGAGAGGTTGAAAACCAATTCTTGTACCAGCACTCATCTTTCTCTTTCTCTTTCTCTCTCTGTCTTTTCTCAGGGCCTTCTCTGACGTTTTTCATGCTCTCTTTAACCATCCCTGTCTTGTCTATGTAAAGGCAACCTTGTTCTTTAAGGGCTATACACAGTCAAGAGCTGTACACAGACTTTTCAATTGCAATAGAGTAAATCAAGTCCAAAATGGATCTTTGCAATTTTTGGAGGTCTCTTCAGACAGTGAAACAAAGGATTTGTTCAGATTAGTGATGTCAATCTCTAGCTGTTTTATGTTCTTGTCAATGGCCATTGAAGGTCTGAGTAGTATAAGTGTGGAGGCCAGTATCTGGATTAGAATTTCTAACAGCAGACATCACAAGTGATTCTTTTTTACCTGAGATATTGCCCGAGTTAAAGCTCCTGGGAAGCCCTCTTCCTCTGGGTTTTGTGAGATTGGGTGCAGAGCTGCAGCCTGGGACCTGCTCTATCTAAACACCTTCTTATAAAGTACTAATAGCAATAATTTTTGATTGGGCAGGCCGTAATATTTCTAACATACCCACTCAGTAATGATGACATAAGACAAAAGTGACCATTGATACTAAGTGACTAAAAGATGAGCCTGTGTTTCAACACAGTTTCATTTACAAAAGATGATAGGCCAGGTTTTGTCACAGTTTAAACAGACTGTACACAGAAGGCATTCAGTGACTGTTAAAATGGGTGATAATTATAATTAAAATGATAATATTAAGGGAATGTCAGAGAACATCTCAGAAATGTATATATTTTTAATGAAATCCACCTTTGGGGGGGAAATGAACTTTGATTCAGGACTATTAAGAAAAATAAAATAGAAGCAGAATGAATTCTATCCATTTATTTATTTTCCTACTTATTCACTTTACACCCCTAGTGTCCCCATACCTCCTGTCCTCTCAGACCTACCCTTACAAATCTGTTCCCATATTACCCCCTCTCCTTTTCCTCAGAGAAGGGGAAGCCCTCGTTGGATACTACCCTACTTTGGGACATCCAGTAGCAGTAGGCCAAAGCACATCCTCTCCCACTGAGGCCCAACTAGGCAGTCCTGTTACGGGAGAGGATCCAACGACAGGCAACTGACTCAGAGAGAGCCTCTGTTCCATTGTTAGGGACCCACATGAAGACCAAGATGTAGATCTGCTATAAATGTGTAGGGACCTAGGTCCAATCCCTGCATGCTGTTTGGTTTGTGGATCAGTTTCACTAAGACCCCATAGGCCTTCAAGTACTATACTGAACAGATAAGGAGAGAATGAGCAGACTTGTCTTGTACCTGATTGTAGTGGAATTACTTTAAGTTTCTCTCCATTTACTTTGGTGTTGGATAATGAATTGCTCTATATTACTTTTATTATGTTTAGATATGTGACTTATATCCCTGATCTCTCCAAGATTTTTAACATGAAAAAGTCTTTGATTTTTGTCAAAGGGTTTCTCAGCATCTAATTAAATGACCATGTGGGTCTTTTTTTTTAATCTTTCAGTTTGTTTATATGGTGGATTATACTGAAGGATTTCATATATTAAACCATCCCTGAAACCTGATATGAAGCCTATTTGATCTTGATGGATGTCTCTGATGTGTTCTGGATTCAGTTTGCGAGTATTTTATTGAGTATTTTTGGATAAACGTTCATAAGGGGAATTGGTCTAAAATTCTTTTTCTTTGTGTGGTTTAAGGTATCAGGGTGTCTGTATCCTCATAGAATAAGTTTGGCAATGTTTCTTCTATTTTTATTTAGTGGAATAGTTTGAGGAGTATTGGTATTAACTCTTCTTTGAAAGTCTGATAGAATTCTGAAACCATCTGGCCCTGGGCTTCTTTTGTTTGAGAGACTTTGAATGACTGCTTGTCTTTCCTTAGAGGTTGTATAACTATTTAGATTGTTTAGTTGATCTTGACTTAACTTTAGTAATTGTAATCTATCCAGAAAAATCATTCATTTCATTTAAATTTTCTAATTTTGTGGAGTACAGGCTTTTGAAGACTTAATGTACCTTTGAATTTAACCAGTGTCTGTTGTTACGGCTCCCTTTTAATTTCTGATTCTGTTTATCTGGATACTGTCTCTCTTCCTTTTAGTTAGACTGGCTAAATGTTTTTCTATATTGTTGATTTTTTTCAAAGAACTAGATCTTGGTTTTGTTGATTCTTCATATTGCTCTCTTTGTTTCTAATTTATTGATTTCAGCCTTGAGTTTGTTTCTTGTTTTCTATGCCTCTTGGGTGTGTTTGCTTCTCTTTTAATATAGAGCTTTCAGGTGTCCTTTTAAGTTGCTAGTATGAGAATTCTGTAATTTCTTTGTGATTTCTACTAAGAACTCTAAACTTTCCTTTTAGTTGTGCTTTCATTGTGTCCCATAAGTTTGGGTATGATGTACCTTCATTTGTATTGAATTCCAGAAAGTCTTTAGTTTCTTATTTCTTCCCTGACTCTGTGATCATTGAGTACAATGTTGTTCTGTTTCCATGAAGTATGTAAGTGTTCCATTGTTTTTCTTGTTCTTGAAGTCCAGCTTTAAATCATGGTGGTCTGATAGGATACAAAGAGTTATTTCAATTTTCTCCTATCTATTGAAGCTTGCTTTGTGACCTACTAGGTGGTCAATTTTTGAGCAGATTCCATGAAGTGCTGCTGAGAGTGAATGGTTCTATAGATATTTGTTATGTCCATTTGATCCATAGTCTCTACTGGTTCATCTAGAGCTTTATTTCCCTATTATCATTATTTCTCTGTTATTATGACATGTCCATTGGTGAGAGTGTGTTGACATTCCCCACTATTAGTTTGTGGGGTTCAATGTGCAATTTAAGCTTTAATAATGTTGTTTTTTTATTAATGTGGGTGCCTTTGCATTTGGGGCATATATGTTCAGAACTGATATGTCATCTTTGTGAATTTTTCCTTCGATGGATATGAAGTGTCCTTCCACATCTGTTTTGATTAATTTTTGTTGAAAGTCAATTTTATCAGATATTAGAATGGCTACGCCAGCTTGTTTCTCATGTTGGTTTGCTTGGAAAATCTTATTCCAGCCCTCTACTCTGGGATAATGTCTGTCTTTGTTGATGAAGTGTGTTTCTTATACGTAGAATGATGGACCCTGTTTTTACATCCATTCATTGAGCATGTGCCTTTTTTTTTTTTTTTTTGGTTTTTTGAAACAGGGTTTCTCTGTGTAGCCCTGGCTGTCCTGGAACTCACTCTGTAGACAAGGCTGGCCTCAAACTCAGAAATCCGCCTGCCTCTGCCTCCCAAGTGCTGGAATTAAAGGCGTGCGCCACCACCGTCCGGCGAGCATGTGTCTTTTATTGATGAATTGAGCGCAATGTTTTGAGAGACATTAATGACTAATGATTGTTAATTCCTATTGTTTTGATGTTGGTGGTGTTAGTGTGTGTGTGTGTGTGTGTGTGTGTGTGTGTGCTTTCCTTATTTTGTTTTACTGGTGTGGAATTATTTTCTATGTTTTCTTGTGTGTGATTAACC